AGAAACCCGTAACACCTAAATCATTTTGAAAAGAAAGAAAATAAGTTGACTGTTGGTCAACCGTCTAAAGAACCGAACGTAAAGTTGAATTGATTTTTATTAAAAGGATAAACATATGCACGATCTAATCATTGAATTATTATGTTTATTCTTGTGCTACAATGGAGTGCCACTCAGCGTCAATGCTGAGCGGATAGCGTTGTTTTCCTTTTTGCTGTCCGTAGGTGATCAGACAGATGAACCTAGAGCCGATCCCAGAGGGCATTGAGGAGGAGATGTACGATGGCGTGGCTGTCTCTTTAATCTGTTGATTATGCTTTATTTAATTAACTTTAATGCTTATTACGTTTTCGGGCAAGATCCCAAGTTGTTTGACTTTAAAAAGGCTTCCGCATTATTTTAAATTACTCCGATGGATTTTTATATGTATTGATAGAACGTTTGTTTAAAATTGTTTTGAAAATGTTGTATATTCGGATACCAATCCAGTGGCACACCGGCCCGCTGTCTCACGGGTTTGGGTTATGCGGGTTGGGGTGTTACAGGGTGTCCCGATCAAATGCTTTGACAATCGATTGTCATGAGGAGACAATCGATTCTCATGGCTTGCGGAACTTGGGAACAGGAACTGCGTAACAAGATAATCGATTATCAGATGTGGTTAATCGATTATCAGCCAACTCTGAACCCAGGTCCGCCATGTTGAACAAGTAGTTTATATATGAAATCAAATATATTTGGATGTGTTGAATATAACCTTACTCTCCAACCGGTGCATTCATACCATCATGTATATCCTAGACGCATGTTTAGGACCATGGCATACGATGCATACCACAGCAAGGGGTCAGGCCCAGTGCGCCTCTTCCGTGGGCCCGTCCAGGAACCTGCGGGATCCAACGGGTTTTCATCACGAGGGCTTGTGTACATACATGGTAGCTAGGCTGAGCTATCACCCATATTCTAGTCTCCATTGGGATGACTAAGGCGTTCCTCAGCTCATCTACCGCGTGGGGATGATCACCGAAGGGCAGGGGGTCCCTGCGCAGTCTAACTCATGCATCATGTTTATTTGGCATGACATCATTGTTATTTGTAACTCTTATCAGTTAAACTTGTACATGGTATCCCGTACTTAGTTCAGGTACGATCATGTTTATAACAATGTGAATGTGCTATGCGTTCTACTGTTAGATTACCACTCAGCTTTTGCTGAGCGTATAGCGTTGTTTTTCCCTTTGCTATACGCAGGTAGGCAAGAGAACCATGGAGCCTGACCCGGATGACTGGGTGATAGGAGCTGCGGATGAACGACAGTGCGGACCAGATGAATTACTTATTTAATTTATGAAAACGTTTTGGGCATGAACCCACCCTTTGTCGCATTTACGTTATTTATGACCTAACAGTTTTATTTACATTTATGTCCGCTATAAATTTCTCTTAAGTGAATCCATCTTCATCACTTAATAAAGCATGTCAAGGGTTTTCCGTTACAAGCCACGCAAGGGGTTTTTCCTTGTACACGGCCTTAAACCGTCTACGTAACCTCTCCGGCTCGTCGGACCGCGGTGAACTGGGCTCGCGGGACGGAGGGCGTTACATTACTAGTTCACTCATATCTACTCTTTGTGAGAATTTTATTCCTGAGTGTTTTAGTGTTTCTATACACTTTAAGGGACGTTGTTCCCTTGTTGTAAACTCGAAGGAAGTCTTTCATTCCTTCGTGAGAAGTCTTGGAGTGCGGTATCTTCGAGCAAAGGCGTTGAGGCTCGTGTGACTCGAGTTCTCAAGTTGTATCGGTTTGTTGAACACCTTTAAGCTTAACGGAGTTAGTGTAACTCGAGAGAGTCTCTCGAAAGGCTGGATTAGCCACACGTTGTGGTGAACCAGGATTAAATTCGGTGTGCTCCTTCCTTACGCTCTTTACTTTATCACTCTCATTTTTAATTTCCTGCGATTTTGTTTTAAACGCTCTTCACCCCCCCTTTAGCGTTGGGCCTTTATTCTAACAATTTTGATGGTATTAGTACAAACTAAATGGCGTACCATACCATACCATGTTCATCTTTACATCATTTTGTTTCTTCCATTCCCACACCACAAATCTTGCTTCTTTCTTGGTTCATCGACTTTTTCAACCTTCTTCTTCTCCAATCTATACTACATCGCCACATTCTTCTTCGATTCTTCCATTTTACACAACTCGTCTTCTTTGCGTTATAGATTCTCGATGGTTTTTGTGGCGACAAAAGATCTCTTCAATGAGTATGGTCATCGCAATTCTGATGGTGCCGGCAGTAGAGTCTTGGTGACGATAGACTTCGTCATTTCTCATTTTATATCTTTCATTTTTCTGATCTTTACTAAACAATTCATTTACTCCGTACTAAGACTATCCCAAATACCATACATCAAACTCAAACAAAAATGAAACAAACATTAAATCAAATACTACATCTTTATCTTATTACATTAAAAGAAAATAAAAAACACTCCCTCCGTCCCGGAAAACATGAGAGTTTTGATTTTGAAGAGAGATTTAAGGGGAGTTATTTGTGTATTATATTTCCAAAAATGTCTTTTGATATGATGGGTAAAAGTATGATTTGATAGATAGATTATTAGTAAAAAGGTATGATATGATAGGTAGGGTATGAAAAAGTAAGGGGTAAAAGTGACTTTTTAAAAGAAATGAGAAGTGTTTTTAGGGACGGATGAAAAAAGAAAGGAGAAAGGTTTTCATGGACAGAAGAAGTAATAAAAAAGAAAATAGATTTTAGATTTGTTACACGAGGAAAAAGAAAATAAAAAATAATCAAAACTTATAATTTGTTTGGATTTTACAATGAAAGGAATGAAGGAAAAGTTGGAAGTCGGAGATGCAAAAAATGAACGAACTGTAAAGCTTGTTAAACGTCAGAGTGGTAGAGTAGCACCTGGATATATTGTTAAGGAAAGCGAGGTGGTTAGAGCTTTTCTTAAGTTAGTATCGCACACCTCCCGCACTGGCAACATGGACGATCTCCTCCAAGATAAAACCGCTAACATGCAAGGTTTAGAGCAGTAGAACAATGCACCGAAAAACTAGAACGAAGTAGAGTTACTCGCTGAAAAGTTGATTGAAATGTAAGACAGTTCGAAAGCAAGAGCTTGTGTTCAAGTGTACTCCTCTGCTGTAGATTGGTGCTTCTTATATATGTAGTTTTCGATGCAGGGTAGCCTTCAAGTTTTACAAAGAGTCACCAAAACCCTTCGGAGATGCATGCATGACTAACTTAAGACTTCAATGATGAAGTGCACATTTCTGTTCAAATCGATCTTGTAAAAAGATAGGGTTTGGCCTACACCCTCGCCATGTCACGGCGCGTTGTGAGCATGCACGCACATGCCAACATTCATTCGTGTGCATGCACACACGCATGTGTGTCAGTTCTGTGCCAAGCCAAGCCAGGCGGCAGCAGCGGTGCATGAGGGTCCTCTCTTTCTTCTTTCTCAAATTGCTTTACAATAAAATTTAGTGCTAGAATATAAATGGTGGAAGATGAAAGGTCTCAAATCAGATGTGGAATACATGAGTTTTTGCACCCTTCTACTCCTTCTAAGTATTTGACTTTATGAATTAATTTCTCATTCAACCAATCACTATTTTTGGCACACAATATATCAAAAAACTTGTCTCACTTTGAAGATTAATTGTCCATAACTATTTTTAAAAAAAATTATGGATCTCACTGAATTTATGTATGAAGTTATCCCTTTATAAGTCAAAAATTATAATAATCCTCCACAAGAATGAAAATTGATTCATGTAATCAGCAATAACTCAGTAGTTGAAAACTACAAGAATAGGTAACTTGTATGCCTTTGAACTTACTTATTAGAGGGTATACCTTCTTTACTAACTGTTCAGTAAAACATGATGTCTTTGAACTCTACAATTGTTTGTGTATACGAAGATATACCATACACAGGTTTGAACCAACCATCGTTCCATTCTCATGAGTGTGCATGTTGTGGTCATGGAACACGCATCAGGTTATGCGAGAATGTCAGAAGGGATCTTCTTGGAATTATTCTATTGAAGCGACCGCACCTCATTCTTACATAGGTGATTCTTTTAAAAACATCCTTATTACTCTACTTAGACCCCCATTGTCCAAAGTTCAAGAATCATTAAATCATATTGAACATGGTAACCCCATCTTTATTGAAAGTCACTGTACATTGGTTGGAATGGAGGGGATTTAAGCTGGTGACCCGACCTGCCCCCATAGTGACCATGCTTCATCCCATAAGTAGGTTGTCCCATTGAACCTAAGTACTACCAAGATTGGGTTTTCCTTCACGGAACGTTCCCAACACACGGTAGGGCTTTCAAACCAATTCCTACCAACAACTTCTCATGCTGTTCGTTTGTAAACCCTTTGGTTAGTAGATCTGCTAGATTACCCTTTGACCTGACGTAGTCAATTCAAAAGTTGCCTAATGGTTTTATGTGAATGACGGATGTGTCTAGACTTACCATTATACATATTATTCA